CGCGGTTAAACTTTTGCCAAACCAAAATGAGTGTTCTGTCACATCGTATGTTATTCGAAGACCTCAAGCAACAATGCCCCATCTGCCTCCCAACCTCCTTTTTATCTCATGCTGCTTTTCAATTCCTATCTGTACTTATTTTTCCTTTCCTTCAAACACAAAAACTTGATTTGAGACATATCTTAATTGTAGTTTGTTTTTTTTTGCTGATGTTATTGTCAATCACGTCAATTTTTATTAATTAGAAATATTGCATAACCACATTTGACTGCGGCACGATCTGTAACTTTGTTGTACATTGACATAGCAAAAGTCTAATGAGAGCTTTAAGAACGCCCCCTGACTCACCCACTAAAAATATTTTCACTTGTGCATTGGGCCGGAAACTTGAGGGTCACGGAGCTAGACGATCATGGGGGGTGAAATGAATACAAAATGTAAAATATTAATTAGTGCCATTGTATAATTGTGGCAAAAATGCACCATCCGGAAGCATCCTTGTGCAAGGCTCCTCGAGCGACATGGATACCTTCAGAATACAGAAGCACCTTAAAAGTAACCTAACAAACTGCTTATACTACCTATTGGCTCCAAATGTAGGGGGTCTGGGAAATGCTTCAACCCGAAGATCAAGTGGACTTTGCTCAAATCGCCATAGAAATTACTGATGTGGTCTCTTTTAGATCCCCCCCCCCCCCCCCCCGCTCCCCTCGACTAGTAGGTTATAATGTGAGAGGGAGTTATTGATCCCCATTCACAACACCAAGACAACAGGTACTTTTATTCCAGAAACGTTGAGAAAGTAATTCAGGCCGCTCTAGCACTCGACCCTCAAACTTTTTGTCTGAGAAATCGGTTGGTACCTTACAGAGTCACAGCGGTAGGCTGGCGTTTATCTTTGGAAAGAAAAACTGTTATGGCAGGGGAAAGGTCTTTTTAAACTGGCCGCTTCCACTGCATGATAAGTTGTGTCATTCCACCAAGTTTGTACTTATGAGCCAGCGTCGGTGGGTAATAAGCTCTTTGTCTTTCATGCGGAATTTCGCAAGTTTGAGTCTAAAATTATTTCATTGAGTACCTAGATCTGTTCCCTTTCTTGGTTGACCATTCTAGGTTCTACCATTGTAGCTCTAGAAGTGACACGATTATGTTTTCAGGGGTGCTGTAAAACGTTCACAATCATTTGACAATCGATATGCTCATTCCTTCATGTCAGTGGAGCAGAAAAGTTAAGACTGCTCCCAGTCCACGAAAGATTGTTCAATCTTCTAGTGACCTTTTCAAACGATTCTCATGTCACAGTCAGTGGTTTCGTGCCCTTGTTAAGGAGCTATGGATTATCTCCCTTCCCTCTTTCCTCTTCCCTCTTTTCCTTTCATGGCTGCCTTCTTTGAATTTCCTCCTTATGGTAGAGAGACCCGTGGGAGGAGGAGAGGAGAGGGTGGGGGTAAGATTTTCAAAGACTTGACAAATTGGGGCAATAATGGAACGCTGACTCCCACATCGTAGACGTGTATCGCCCACGCATCTGCTTGATATGAGACAGTCCCCTCTTCCACCCTTCTTTCACCCCTACCTCACCCCCCCCCCCCCCCCCGAAAAAAGCCCAACTAAATTAGATTGGAATATGAATAAATAAATAAATAAATAAATAGATACGTAAATAAATAAATTGATTAATTAATTAATTAATACAAAAAAACAACCAAACAACAGGGAATATTTTCAGAATTAAAATAAATCCTCTCTAATTTCCTGGGGGCTGAGAATCAGCTAGATGTTGAAGACGCTTATGTCTATTCAGGTATCACAAAAACTGCATTTGTCGTTTCCTGATTGTTTTTAACAGTGAGCGTCCCACGTGGGCTTCATCAAGCACTAGATCTACCTCATTTTATTTCTTTTCCTTCCTCGATATTCTTAGCAGTCTCCTAAGAAACCACATTTCTGTTGCTTCTATTTTATTTTCATTGTCTTTAGTGTTTGTCCAGCATTCACAGCCATGTAGAAGGGTTGACCATACATAGCATTTCAGAACTTTCATTTTGGTAGTCATTGAGATGTTTCTATTTTTCAGGATTGGGCTCATTTTATTGAAACTAGCCTTAGCCATTGTTATTCTCCGTTTTATTTCTGTGGAACATTTGGCATCAGATATTATCATATGTCCTAGATATTAAAACTATTGGACTTGTTTGATCTTTTCACCTTTGCTAATGAAATTACTAATAGGATTTTCTGCTTTTTTTATATTACCATTCAGCAATAATCCTTTACGTTCACTTATTGTTGCAACGGTATCTAGAAGCAATAGAAGGTCATTTTCTGAGTCTGCTATCAAAACTGTGTCATCGACATATCTGATGTTATTAATATTTTCTCCATTTACTTTGAGACCTGGACATTCTTCTATGTTTTTAAGGATTGTTTCACTGTACATGTTAAAGAGGTCTGATGACATAACACATCCTTGCATTCACTGTATTCTCAATTAATTCGTACTACAGCGTTTTTGTCCCAGTACAGATTCCATAATTGGAAAAGATCTAAAAATTATCAGGAATTGTACTGCTGTACGACTTAATGGAGAATACAGTGACTATAAGCAGATTAGAAGAGGAGCGAGGCAAGGATGTGTCACCAGACCTCCATTCATAATAACTGTAAATAGGAATCAATGAAACGGCATCACGGATTCAGCAACAACTAAGTTTATTCAAACTTCTTACAAAAGGACAACTCGGCGGATAAACGTGTGAAGTAAAGCTGGGTTTCACTGTATTTTACGTTTATTTTACACGTAGAGCTATCAGTCGTTTCTAAGTATCATTTTTGTCTTTTGTCTTTCGATGTTGCCTGTCATTTTGGCCTAGTTACATCAAAAGACGTTTCATATCATATTGGTCAAGTTACGCCAACAGACAAGCCGTAACTTTGGTCTTGGTACAACAAAAGACGCTGACTTCATATTGATCAATACATTACGTCAAAAGACGTAGCCCATCACCGATAAGGTTAAGCGATGCAAGTTTTCAAACCCTTCAATGGTTTCGTGATCAATGCTCAGGAAGAACTTTCTGAAGTTTTTGTTTGACTTTAAAAAAAATAAAAACCGTGGTCATCCCGTTGGTCTAGTTACGTCAAAAGAACTTAGCCGTTACATTTCGCTACCTCAGAATTACAAAGCTCTGTCTGACAATTTTGGCCGATTTAAGTTACTAAGAACAGGAGGTTAGAAATCAAATCTTCCCTATCAAAATCGTAAGATTATTGTAAGTCATTGTTAAGATATTCAAAGAAATGCATTCGAAAAAAACTTGAAATATTGTAAAACAAGGATTTTTAACGCCAAATTTCTCCAAGCTAGGTGGTGAGTAGATAGAACGTTGTAATTCTGAGGTAGCGATTCGTCTAGTTACGCCGAAAAAAAAAACCCAAGGCATGTCACATAGGTCTAGTTACGCCAAAAGACCTAGCCCGTCACCAACCAGAGATTAAGTGAGGTACGTCCTCAAACTTTTCACTGGTTTCGTCAATAATGCTGTGGGCAGACATTCTGGGCTATATCCGGCTACATCAAAAGAGACATATTAAGTTTCAAATCGTTTTTCTATATTTTTGTCCTATCAGAATTAAAAAAACGATTCTCCCGGGAAATCGGATGCGGTAACAAATACATCCATCTGTCCATTAAAATATTACTCTGGCAGAAGGTTCTAGAAAACGAGAAATCAATTACAAAGGAGTTTCAGTCTGTGAAATGTTCAGCGTTCATTACAAGTGACACTGACATCCTAGTATTTTAAAATCTGTCATCAGAGCTTAAAATAACATCTGTGAATTTTTTGCAACAAAGTACTATTGATTTTTGTATGAGAGTGAGTGAGTGATTACGAGAGAGAGAGAGAGAGAGAGAGAGAGAGAGAGAGAGAGAGAGAGAGAGAGAGAGAAATAGAGAGAGAAGGGGGAGGGGAGGTGGCGAGAAAAAAAGACCTAGGAGGACATCAAGAGGGGGAGAGAGAGCTAATGAATGAAAAGCAAAGAGAGAGGGGAAAGTAATGGTGGGAGAGAGAGAGAAAGGGAGAGAAGGAGAGAAAAAAAGAGAGTGAGAGGGAGGAAGGGAAGGGAGAGACAAAGAGGGGGTATGTCGGGGGGGGGGGGAGCCAGAAAGAGAGGTGGGGATGACAGAAAAGTAAATATAGTGTCAGAGACCGAGACAAGGGGAGAGACTTTGAGAGAGGGAGAAAGAGAGAGAGAGAACGAGATAGAGAGAGAGAGAGAGAGAGAGAGAGAGAGAGAGAGAGAGAGAGAGAGAGGGAGGGAGCGAGAGTCAGAAAGGTGGGGAGAAAGAGTCGATGAAAAAAAGGAGGGAGAGGGACAATAGAAGAGAGGGCGGACAGAGCGTTAGGAAAGAAGATAGGGGTCAGAGAGAGGGAAATGGGGAGGAGGGAGTCAGAGAGAGATATATATAGAGAGAGAAAAATAGAGAAAGAGAGAAAGGACAGACATACAGACAGAATCAAACCACCTGCACAGAAATAGTAACAACATAATATTATATTAGAGATAGAGGGGGGGAGCGAGAGTAAGAGAAAGGGGGGGGGGGAGTCAATGAAAAAAAGGAGGAAGAGGGGCAGTAGAAGAGAGGGCGGACAGAGGGTTAGAAAAGAAGATAGGGGTCAGAGAGAGAGAGAGAGAGAGAGAGAGAGAGAGAGAGAGAGAGAGAGAGAGAGAGAGAGAGAGAGAGAGAGAGAGAGAGAGAGAGAGAGAGAGAGAGAGAGAAAGAGAGAGAGAGAGAGGGGGGGGGAGAAATAGAGAAAGAATGAGAGAAAATAGAGAAAGAAAGAAAGAAAGAAACAGACAGACAGACAGACAGACAGACAGACAGACAGACAGACAGACAGACAGACAGACAGACAGACAGACAGACAGACAGAATCAAACCACATGCACAGAAATAGTAACAACATATTATCTCTCTGTCACATCGGTGTCCCCAGTGACATCACAACGTCCGGCGCCCTCTACTACGAGTATGCCAGCTATTCTGATGGTCATCTGTCTGAGTCTTCACAGCCATACGACATGGGCTGCCGACGGGAAACAGGTACGAGAATTAATACTTACTTTTACTTTTTACTTTTTCATCCTCTGTTGCCGTTAAGCGTCGAGAGGAGATGCAGTTTTCTATGCTAGGCTATGCATATGTGTAATGCTCGGCTCAGCTTTCTTTGCGACTTTCTTCCTTTGTATTTAGCTTTCTTGTGGGTTGCCAGTGGATGACAAAGGCTAGCAAAGCAGTAGGCAACGGGAAACCAATGCTGTATTCTCCCAAAACACTTAAGTTCTCACTGGAAAAATTGACGACAAGCGAGGCAAAGGTAGACCCAGAGCAACCTACTTGGAGAGCCCAAACAAATAAAAAATTAGGAAAATAAAACTTTTTTGAGAGTATCCAAGCAAAGAAGTAAATGGAGAACCATGATTGCCGATACCTGTCGCAGGTCTGACTTTGATACTGATAATTTATAATATTTCAAGTAAACTACTGGACAAAGAGACCTTCCCTCAGAATATAGAAACCTGTTTAGCAAGTCTGTCTAACTCGGATAAACACAAGAGGCGTTTCAAGAAGTAATACCTACTTTAGTACTGTCTTTCTGATTATTTTCCTATGAGACGAGGTCTCTAAGTCTTAGAAGCGCCTTTGGGAAAAAAAACCCGTTGAACCCAGACCATGAGCATTAAAGCTGAACCCCTTTGAAATGATTAAGGTACCTTCAAGGAGCAATAATATTATTTTCTCTCTCTGTGTCCTTCCTTTATTTCCTATCCCATAAGATACATCAGCACCTTTTCTCTTTCCCCTGCTTTTATCAACTGTCATAATTTTTTTTTCATCACCAAACGCCACCAATGATAAAACTTTTTTCATCCAGCCATCATCATTCCTTTTCTCCCACGACCAACCCCATCTCCCAAAAACAAAACAAAACCACACACACACACAAACACACAGATATGCACACACAAACACACACACACACACACACACACACACACACACACACACACACACGCACACACACAAACACACAGACATACACATAAACTTTCTTTCCTTCCTAACAATACTCACACCCCACTACCTTACCTCCCGAACCACCCTTCCCCCCCCCCCCCATCCCCCCCATCCCCGCCCCGAAAAAAAGAAAGTCTAATATTTTTTTTAAACACATAAACAAACAAAAATGCCCACCCTTGCCCTGAGTAGAAAATTCCCTTCACATAACAGGAACCCTTTATTGCTAAGAAATGACAACGGACCCCAAATCAGCCCCTCGGCTCTCTCCGCTTGAGCTCGTTAAAGACTCAGAAAACCCCAAGGGCAACTAGGTGCCGGTGTCGATTTCAGTGACGAATAGACAACAAACAAACAAATACACTTTATACAAACATCAATGGACAGGAAGACAGGGGAAAAAATTATCATAGGTAATAAGATTCTAAAAGAGAGGTTCCACTTAACTATTCACATCATAATTTGACCGACCGGCGAGACGAGGTTTTATGAGAGGTCGTGAAAGGAAACATGCTATTTGTTAGTCTAGGAGCGCTTAATCTAATGGTTTTGCAACATCGTGCTTTTAGAAACTTTATTAAGCAAAAGCTAAATTATGACAAAGAGAGAAGAGGATTGGAGGGGGGGGGGTTCGGGGGAGGAGGAGAAAGAGCGAGCGAGAGAGAGAGAGAGAGAGAGAGAGAGAGAGAGAGAGAGAGAGAGAGAGAGAGAGAGAGAGAGAGAGAGAGAGAGAAAGAAGAGAAAGAAAATGAGAGAGAAAGATGCAAAGAAAGAGAGAGAAAAAAGAGAGAGAGAGAGAGAGAGAGAGAGAGAGAGAGAGAGAGAGAGAAAGAGAGAGAGAGAGAAATAGAGAGGGTGTGGTGGGAGAAAGAGAGAAAGTGAGGAAGCGAGAAGAGAAAGAAAATGAGCGAAAAGCCAGTAGAAAGACCGAGATGCTCAATAAAAATTCCCCCATCACAAGAATTGAACTCAGCGTCTAACCGCATTATTGAAGTAAAGTGAAGCACCTTTCAGCGCTTTTAAAAAGTTCTCTCGAAAAAATATAAGAAGCCATATATACTATAGCTGAAAATTCATCTATGCTGACAAAAAAAAACCCAACAACAATAATAATCCCACCAGGTTTATAAGCAATGAGAGTTTTAATATCACCTATTGGATTGGGTGGTTGGCGGGTGATCCGGTGTGGTTTGCTTCTTCGATCCTATCAAACATCTATCGCCCTTGTCTTTCCTTCTTTTTTGTGTTTGTTAGTCTCTTTTAACACTTCTGATCATCGTCTTCTATATGAATTAATTGTGTTGCAAGTGCCGTAAAACGTTTACTAATCTAAACCTACATGTATATACAAACATGTATGTGTATAATATGTAAATCTATAATTATTTCGAAAACAGAATTTACTTTAACTGATATTTGGATGAATAGAAAGAGTTGAACGCTATTAAACAACTGGACAGAACATTCCAGACCTTCGGGCCGTAATATAAGCTACATAGAAATTAATGTCCTTTCATCCATTAAGTTTCATCAGGTTTGATAAATATGATAGCGCATTATCAATCATTCACGCATTTGTGATATAACATGTTATTATAAGGACTTGTTCATTGTGTTTGCCCTAACAAGAAGCCAGTGCAGTGTCCGTAAAAGACGTTTAGCAGAATATCGCTTTCTTTTCTCGCTTTCTTTTCTGCAATACTAAATACGCAGCATTTTCTTGAATAATTTCAAATATCTATTAGCTGTGCTAAACGCGGTATACTACGCAACGTTTACTTGTTGTTTAAGATAATAAAACTAAACCCTTGTAAATTCCGGTGCTGATTTCTATTTAGAGTAAAGTTTGCCGTTATGCATTTTGAGTGATGTATATGGTGACGTATGTAGAGACGTTAATTCAAAAAGGCAGTGTAAATTAATTAATAATGTTGTTCTAAAAGAAGAATTTCCATTTGCGAAACGAAAGGAAATATTTTCATTATCTCTTCGAGCGACATTTGCCAGTCGATTGTCCAGGACGTTTTTTTCTGTGTTTTTTTTTTAAAGAGAGAACCCGTTTGTTGTGTGCTATTTTTGGTAGCTTGTAAACTGTGCTTACGGTGACGTAAGCTATCGAGGGCAGTGACGTGCACGATATGACCAGCGTTTAGCGCTTTTTAAAAGGTTTTCAATGAAGGCGTTTTTACGCCCCCACAGACGCAATTTAGATCTTTCAGGAGTCGCGCTTCTGGCTTGGCCTGTCAGGGTCAACCCGGACTGAGAAGGTTACGACGTGCCAGCAGAAATACTCGGTAAAAATGTGTTTCCACTTGGGGATTGAACTTAGGTTTAACAGCAGGGCGCCTTATCGGTACACCACATACGTCGGCCATTTAATGCTGATACTTGTAGTTTTTGCTTCGGCTGTTAGAAATCTTTCGGAAAAGTGGCAGAAGCATAGTGTCTCAAATGACTACGTTTCGCTCTATTGACTTAAGAATTTGTGTTGCAACGCAGTAGAATCAGACGCTCGTAAATATTTTTAGCATATTCCATAGAGTAATTGATGTCATCTTAAAACGTGTTCATTCGTCCTTTTAAAAATGAAACAAGTACCCTCTATCTTGACTAGAAGTCAGTATACTTGCAATTGAAGGAAACAGTTCGATATCCATCATCCAACAAGAGAAAAAATGTCGGTTTGTTCAATTTCAATATTGACGAGCGCCTGATTTCACCACGATGCCACTCATGTATTGCTACTCAGTTTTACACATGAACGGATAAAGTCAAAACAATGAAGTGCTCGCAACAGCTTGTTTTGAGAACAATGCAGCATGATGTTTTTGTAAACAAACTCACCTTGCGCTATATAATTATCATTATAATAAAAAATAATAATAATAATAATAATTACAATAATAATAATAATAATAATAATAATAATAATAATAATGATGATGATAATAATAATAATAATGATAATAATAATAATAATAATAATATAGCTGTTGATGTTATTATTATATTACTATTACTATTATTATTATTATTATTATTATTATAATTATTATTATTATCAGTATTATCATTATCATTATCATTATCATTAGCATTAGCATTATTATTTTTTACTTTATTATTATTATTATTATTATTATTATTATTATTATTATTATTATTATTATTATTATTATTATTATTATTATTATTATTATTGTTGTTGTTGTTGTAGTATCCAGGAGAAAATCGGGAGATGTCAGTTTTTAAAAATTCTTTATGAGCTGTAATGTGGTTTGGAAAATGTTTCCACTCCTCTTTAGGCCCATCTAAGTGTTCAGGGCTGGTGCATTGTCCTTTATCAAGCTTGGAAAATAAGTTTAATTTTGAGAAGAAAAAAAAACGTTGGGCTGTCAGGTACTTCCATTTGTACTTCTCAAAATGCTATTTTTTAAAAAGCGACTTCTAATTGATTTAGTGCTATCAACACTGTTTGGGCTTCTGGGAAGTGGGACCTTTGAAGTTGAAATCTATCTCCGATACAACCGAACCATACGTGAAGACTGCCTTAAAAACTTCTCAATAGAATCAAAGGGGCTCTCGTGGCCTAGAGGTTAAGGTGTTGGTGACCTCTCATTCAAAGGTCCTGGGTTCGAATCTTGGTAGCGACCGAAAAACAGATTTCTTCTCTAAAATTGTCTCCTTTCACATCCTTTCCTGCTCTCTAGCAATGTTCTGTCGTGTGCTTTCGTCTCCTCTTTCTGCCCCCACCCCCTCACCTCCTTTGCCCTCCTCCTCTGGGCTCCTGACTCTTTCTGCTCCTCCCACGCTCCTTCTTACTTCTGTCTTTCTGCCACACCCCTGATCTTCTGGTTGGAAAAATCTACACCTAGCTTTCTCGGACAAGGGCAAAAATCTCGGAGGGCCCTTGTGCAAGATTCGCACGTTAAAGATCCCTCGGTGGTCTAAAATCGATCAGAGTAGACTGCAGCCGCCACCCTGGCAAATTCAAAATTTCCTACCGACTGAAAAAGGTGTCCTGCGCTCTCCTATGACCGTATTCAGTTGCGAGCGCCGTAAAACACTTACCAAAAAAAAAATAGAATCAAAGTTTTGAAAAAAATCCCTCTTTGAGATTTGAACCCGGACTGTCATCAATCATGACACCAACCGAAATATTGATGCGCCTCCACGAAGACATAAACACGGCATAAAATCATGTTCCGATAAAATGACTTTTCAATAAAACACGAAAATTACTCTATCAAATTCATCACCGTCGTAGAGTTTTATCTCTTTTATAACTAGCCTATATGGCGGCCTGTGCATGCTGTCAAGTCGGTACCCTGGAATTACATAGTTCTATCTGCT